CACGAAGCTAGTAGAGAGTGTGTTTGGTTGCGGTCCATGACTCAGCATATCCGATCAGATTGTGGTATGGACGAAGATAAGGAGCCTACGGTGATGTATGAAGACAATGCAGCTTGTATCGCTCAACTCAAGGACGGCTACATCAAAGGTGACCGGACGAAGCATATTCTGCCCAAATTCTTCTTCACTCATGAGCTACAGAAGGATGGTCAGGTCAAGGTTCAGCAAGTCCTATCAAGCGAAAATTTAGCCGATCTATTCACTAAATCATTACCGACTTCTACACTCCGGAAGCTCATTCATCAGATAGGAATGCGTAGACTTAGAGATCTACAGTGATGTCTAAACCAGGGGGAGTAATGCGTGTTGTACTCTTTTTCCTTCACCATGGTTTTTCCCACTGGGTTTTCCTGGTAAGGTTTTAATGAGGCAACGTTCCCCAGCGCATTATAGAGATCCCGGTTTTGTGACAGGCACGGTTACCTTGTCCAAGGGGGAGTGTTATAAACAAATGGACTTCTAGTAACCGGCCCATTAACCATCAGGTTAATGTCTCATGGTCTATTAGGATTTCTGATACATTAGTTATGTAATGTATATATATACTACTTGTTGAAATAATAAGATCTGAGTTTTTCCCTTAAAATATCTAAATATTTGAATGCAAATTAGTCGTAGTGGTCCTATATATATGTCTACCAGACGCACCGAGTACTGTACAGAATCTAACCTCAAGATCTAAATTCAATTTTCCGTTACATAAATGATTTATGATAAATCCGAGTTCTTCCTCTCTCTTTTTTTTTTTTTTTTTAAGTCACCAAAACCGGAAACATACACGAACAAACCTTAGTTTATTACTGGTAGGATTAGGAACCGTGTGATGTATATTTGGTGAAGACCGTTGACTAACTCTTTCCTTTTCTTCTTTTCAGACACAAACTGCAAAGATATTTTCCTTTTTGTGTCGATAACTTGCTTTAGCTCCCAAAGTCCAAACCCGATTAAAAACCCCATAAAAAGCAGCAAAAACGAAAAAACCTAATTTCTCTCTACAAAAATCTCAAACTCAAAAATCTCAAATTTCGTTCAAAGCTCGAACTTTTGTAATTGCTTCCATGGGAGAGAAAGATTCAGAGACAGCTCCGATTTGGGGAAAAACCCAACAGAGAGAGAACAACATCGAGCCAATGGATGTAGAATCGTCTTCTCTATCCGGGCAGCAGCAACGATCGCAGAATCAGAGTCGAGGTTCTTACGAAGAACGAGGAAGAGGAGTTAAGGAGTTTCGGAGCTGGTACTCTTGGCTCATACCGTGTTTCGTGGTCGCTAACGTTGTCGTGTTCGTGATTACCATGTATGTCAACAATTGTCCGAAGAAATCTGGAGACTGTTTTGCCGGTTTCTTGGGTCGGTTCTCTTTTCAGAGCACAAGAGAGAATCCTCTTCTGGGTCCTTCCTCTCTCACGTAAGCTCCTACTTCTGTGGTTTCCTTTTTGCTCTCTGTATCCTCCAAATAAATCACTGATTTTGACCGTGTCAATCCAAAATTTCGTAGGAATTTAAGTAGAAAACTTCAAAATTTCTTAGGATTTTGAAGAAAAAATCAGAAATTTCTTTAGAAGTTAACCAGGAAATTTAATGCTCTACTATAGCTTGGAAGAAGTAGCTGATTGCTTTTAGTGTGGGTCAGCGATGTGGAAGATGTCAAATATTTATGTTGAATTGTAGAAGAATTTGGAGTATAATAAGGGTAGAGTATAGTATAGAGACAATGTGTTTTTCTCCTCCTCCTTTTAGTCCTCCTGATATTGAGATTGATTTTGGTTACGTTTACTTGCAAACAGGTTACAAACAATGGGTGGATTAGATGTAAGAAAAGTGGTTAAGCGAGATGAAGGATGGCGTCTACTTTCTTGCAATTGGTTACATGGAGGAGTTGTTCACTTACTGGTGAACATGTTGACTCTTTTATTCATCGGTATACGTATGGAACGTGAATTCGGGTTTAGTAAGTACTCTCTACCTCCTTAGATCGGTTAGTTGTTTTTGTGAAGACACTCTTTAATGAAATCTGTGTATAACCTATGTTTGTTTCCTTTTTTTGTTGTTGTTGTTCTCAGTACGGATTGGATTGCTTTATTTGATATCTGGCTTTGGAGGAAGTATATTGTCAGCTCTTTTCCTCCGCTCAAACATCTCTGTTGGAGCATCTGGTGCTGTGTTTGGTTTACTTGGTGGAATGCTCTCTGAGATCTTTATCAATTGGACAATCTATTCTAACAAGGTACCTATTATTTATTACCTTTTTCTTATATAATATTAAAAGTTGGAACTTTAGGATTTATATTGGTTGCCTATGCTTTGTTTAGGTTGTGACGATCATAACTCTTGTATTAATTGTGGCGGTAAACTTGGGACTTGGTGTGCTCCCTGGAGTAGATAACTTTGCTCATATTGGAGGGTTTGGTACCGGTTTTCTTCTTGGGTTTGTGCTCTTAATCCGTCCCCATTTCGGATGGATCAACCAGAGATACGCTCCTGGAGCTAAACCGCACAAGTACAAGACGTATCAGGCCATATTATGGACCGTCTCTCTTCTCCTCTTGCTAGCTTGGTAAGTGTTACATCATTTTTACAATATAAATCAGAATGTTTTTGTATCCTATAGTAAGAACTTTATATACTCATTTTAGCCTTGGGATTGCGTAAATGATGTTGTATTTTTCAACAACATGAGAAAATATATAACACTAAACCGGTTTCTTTCCTTGTCAGGTTCATTGCTGGTTTGATCTCTCTGTTCAACAATGTCGATGGAAACAAGCATTGCTCATGGTGTCATTATCTATCATGTGTTCCAACTTCTAGGTGGAGCTGTAACCGAGAACCAGCCTCCTGCACAGTAAAATTCTTATAGCCATATTCATTCTCCGGTTTCTCAGCCTCAGATCGAATCTCACTTTCAAGGTATCTAATCAACATTTCTCTGTGTTTTTTTTTTCCCCTGCAGACTACTCAATTAGGAAACCAATTGAGCATAACTTGTTTGAGGAACGGGAAATCAGGATCATACATTTTGGCAAATCCCTCGGATTCACGGATTAATAGCTTATGTGTGCAGCTTTGCCGTTGATTTACTGGTTTTAGCACACACACAAACTCCATTGTATCTTCTCCGTCTTTAATTCTTTCTTGCTTATTATGATGTGTATATTTATTTATAGGAGCCATTTATTGAACAATATTTGAGTTTTCAGATCTCTGGTAAATTTTCCCATAGTCGTGCTTGATCCTAGTTTAGAAGAAAATTCATGATACGAATTTATTTTTATTTATCCTGTGCAAGACAAACCTCTGTGAATCTTATGTTTTTTTTTTTTTGTGCCCTGGCCTGATCTATGAAGTCATATTTGCTCTGTATAATATATACTTTTGAACACATAAAAAAAGTAAAAAGCAATATTCGCCGACTGTGGGGATCGAACCCACGGCCACGGGATTAAAAGTCACGCGCTCTACCACTGAGCTAAGTCGGCTTCGATGCTCTTGTCGTAATTTACAATGATTACTTCGTAAATCATTTAAAATGGATTGCTTGAATACAATTTCAGATCCCTACGTCATTGTGATATTTTAGCTAGATATATCAAAAGATTATGGAATAAATCTGTCAGCTTAACCGTCCTGTAGAAAGTCACTCTACTAATCATGGATACCTTAATACCTATATACATATTGGAAATAAAAATCCACCGAGAACCAGCCTCTTGCACATCAAAATCATTATAAAACCACTTTTCATACGTGAAATGTCTCTAATGGACATGTGTTATTCTTATTTTTTATGCAGACGAATCAATTAGGTATCCAATTGAGAGTAATTTGTTTGAGGAACGAGGAATCAAGATCAAATATTTTGCCCAATCCCTCGGATCCCCGAATTAATAGCTATGCCCTCTGTGTGTGTACAAAACCAGCAAAACAACAACAAAACAAACACACTCCATTGTCTCTTTTCACCATCTAAAATTCATCCTTGCTTATTATATGTATATTTATAGGAGCCCTGTTGAATAGTAATACAATGTTTTACTAAAATTTACCTGAATATTAGATCTCTGATTTACCTGAATATTAGATCATAACACGTATTTGTTTTTATACATAGAGAAAAACCTAGTGTATGACCAACTAGATTTTCATTTCTCTTTGTATCAAACGTTATGTTGTGCCCTGATCTTTACACCTATATATGTTTTATATGTTTTAAGTACGAGACATATAAAACATAGTCTACAATTTACTTTTGACCAATTTAAAAAAAAAACCCCTTAAAATAAGGAATCGCCGTCTGAGGGGATCGAACCCTCGGCCACGGGATTTTCATTTCTCTTTGTATCAAACGTTATGTTGTGCCCTGATCTTTACACCCATATGTGTTTTATATGTTTTAAGTACGAGACATATAAAACATAGTCTACAATTTACTTTTGACCAATTTAAAAAAAAAACCCTTTAAAATAAGGGGTCACCGTCCGTGGGGATCGAACCCTCGGCCACGGGATTTTCATTTTTCTTTGTATCAAACGTTATGTTGTGCCCTGATCTTTACACCCATATGTGTTTTATATGTTTTAAGTACGAGACATATAAAACATAGTCTACAATTTATTTTGACCAATTTTTTAAAAAAAACCCCTTAAAATAATGGGTCGCCGTCTGAGGGGATCGAACCCTCGGCCACGGGATTAAAAGTCACGCGCTCTACCACTGAGCTAAGACGGCATTCATGCTTGAGAGTGCTTATATATTAAATAGATACTACGTTTTAAAACTGTAGGGATTTTCCTGGCTTGTGCATATGTATATAATGAATAGTATCTAAACAAGACGTGACAACTTGTTTATTGAAAGATTCACCACATAGAAAACAATCATTAGAAGCAATCTTGAACATAATCATGTTGCTAATATATATGAGAAGAGGCACCGAGGCAAAAGATAATGTGCCAATACTACTTAGTTCACGGTTCAAATTAATGAACTAGAATTAATAGGAAACCGCACATGTAGAGATCATTTTGGCTCACAAGGCTTTTTTATTCCCGTTCAAATGCATTGACCGTAGCTCAACCGCGTCGAGCTCTCTTGGAAAAGTATCAGGCCGATAGAATCCTGTTTCCGGATCAGGCATCCACCATAACTCTTCTCCTCTCCTCGTTTTAACATCACTTTTAGAGGTTGTCACAACGTATGGATCTGCCATGGTTTCAGGTCGGTAGTATCTGGTTTCACAGTCTGGTGTCGATGATGGCTTCTCTTGGCTGCTTCCCATTGCATATGACATTTGAGAGGATTTTTGGATCAAAATGTATCTTCTCCTACAATAATATAGAACAAGGAACTGTCATTATTCATTCCATTTAAAACGCCATATATTCAAAAGAATTAAGGAAAAAAAAAACTAATATTCTAGGCTATACAAAATGGATTGACTTACGCTACAATTATGTTAGAGAAACTTTTGAGACTGAAAAGCGATCGAGGCATTAATCCCATCATAGTTTCTATGGGAAGACAATATGTGTGATGAGAGAATTTCTATAGAGACTAATTTATGCTGTACATAGAAGATATATGTTGGAAGATATGGCTTTGCTTAGTTTATAAATGGGAATTTGCAACTAAGATAATTTTGTTTTTAACTAAACTAATATACTTTGACTTTGTAATGTCAACTACTATAGATTATGTGAAAAATCAAACTAAATATTGGCAGGATCTGTTAAAAAGTAATATATATATATATATTATAGATATAGAATGGGATATCTTTGATGGTGAATATTGTAAGAGAAGTGGTAGTCCTTCGCTCGATCGGACGTCAAATTAAAAAGCGACATCGAAAAAAAAAACAACCTGGACAATGAACTTACGTTGCTTAAATTTGCAAGAGTTTAAGCGTACGTGCAAATTTTTAAAATTAAGTTAATATTTGAATATTTGATAAGGGTGAACTACTAAAAGTCTAAAACTTAAAGAATACTTGTTTTGTGCGTGAACTGGTCTAATATATTAAGCAGTGAAATGGTTCGGTATGTCCAAGGGTCAACAAGAAAATATATTAAGAAGTGACGGTTGTATCATTGTATATATGTCGATTCGAAAATTAAAAATTTGGAAGAGCTTCGTGTTGAAGAAGTAAGGTTTGAGAGTGACTCCAAAGACTGAATCAAGGTTCTGGAGGCTAAGTCTTTGGGGTTTCCCAAGAATGACATTGATAACAAAATTTTACAAAGAAGATAATTGGAGCCACAAGACGATGTTTATGCCTTTGAGATAGACAAATAAGTAGTTGGGTACTTGTATAGAAAGATACATTAGCTTCTCACACTTTGCACTCATTGATTTGTGTCAAATCCGGTTTTGATTCCAATTTTGTTCGGTTTATAAAATATACAAAACCAAATGAAAACTGAATGCCATTTGGTTACAATTTCGATTTGGTATGAATAAACGGTTTATTTCATCTTCAGTGTACATAATTCAGAAATCTGCTGAGTTCACTATCGAAAATATATGCAGCGATATCTCTTATTGGACATCAAAATTTGTGGAATGTAAACTTCAACATACAAAAAGATCAAACAATATTCCAGCTCACCTGCTTGCCAAAAAGGGTCCTCCAAATTCCATTTTCTTTTCTTCAAAGTTGTATCCACCAAGATGGTTATCAGTTTCTTTGTATTCTGATTATGTAAACTCATTTTGAAATAAATAAAATTCACTTTTGCCGAAAAAAAAAATAATTTCAATTTTAATTTTCGTAAATAAACCAAATCAGTTTAGTTTTTCTTCTTCGGTTGGTTCCCGAATCCCGATTTTTCCGGCTGACTTCGGTTTGATTCGAATCAGTTAAACCGGATTGGAATGTAAAAATAGAATTGTTTGGCGAGCAGACCTTCTGAATCAGCTGAAGGGTCTGGACTGTGAGAGTAAAGTGGCTATCGATTTCTCACTGAACCACTCCGGCAAATCAATCAGTCCGGCGACTGTGACCGGCATTTTGATCTTCCATTTCCCTCCCGAGATAATTTCGTGAATCTCTTCCTAGTCGCTATGTTGCACGAGCTCCTTTTAGCTCTCTTAGGTTTCACCGGAGATCTTATTGTCGACGAGCGGGAGCAACGGAAAACCCTAGGCCTCGATTCCCCTCTCTCTGATGAATGTACCTTCAAACTCGCTCCCGACATCTCCTTTATCGAACCCAGCGAAAGGTACTCTCTGCTGGTGCTCTCTCTCTCTCTCTCACTCTCTGTGCTTCATGATCTGCAATTGAGCTGATTTTGATTACAGGGACCTGATCGAGAGGTTGATCAAGCTAGGGTTCTACTATCGTGAGCTCGACCGGTTTACGAAGAAATCCCGTAATCTGAGTTGGATAAGGTCCGTAAACAGCGTGCATCCGTTGCAACGAGCCGATGAATTGTCCAAGCAGAGTGGCGAGAAGAAGCCTAGCGTGTACCGTCGAGCCATTGCTAATGGAATTGGGGAGATTCTTTCGGTCTACAGGTCTGCAGTTCTTCACATTGAGCAGAAGCTATTGGCGGAGACTCCGCCTATTCTGGCTACGGTTACGCAAGGGCTCAATAAGGTACGATTACCAAACACATTCATCAGTTGATAATTGAGCTTTAGGATGCGATATGAGTATGCGTTTATTGGATATCCAATGCCATCTTATCTCTGACTTTGTTTTTTCTGTCTAGTTTTTCGTTCTTTTCCCACCTCTCTACGAGGTTATTCTCGAGATTGAGCGTGATGATATTCGTGGAGGTCAGCTTCTGAATGTATTGAACAAAAGGTGTCATTGTGGTGTGCCTGAACTGAGGGCTTGTCTCCAAAGGTATTCACTGGCTTTCTTCCTACAGTAAACTGAAATCATCTTCTCAAACTTTCTTTGATACGATACTCCCATATCCACGTGTAGGCTTCTTTGGCATGGACATCAGGTCATGTATAATCAACTGGCGGCTTGGATGGTCTATGGGATTCTCCAGGATCCTCATGGAGAGTTTTTCATTAAGAGGTAACTGTAGTTTTACGCATGGACATCAGGTCCTGTATCTTGTCATTTTTTGTTTGAAATTTAATGTCGCATTAGTTGTCGTCATGAGGTCTCCTCCTATTATACCTAATAGGTAGCTTCTTTGTGCTTGAGTCGATATATTATGGTTTTCCATCACCTGTAGTTGCACATCTTGGTTTCTGTTTTCCATAAATGTACAACTAATTCCTGATTTTCTTGCAGGCAGGAAGATGGGGTCTTAGATAATCGCTCATCTCAGGAAGAGCTATCTGAAAAGTTGGCTCGTACCTCAGTTCATGAGACATCTTTAACTGATTGGCACTCTGGGTTTCACATTTCGTTGGTATTCCTCATGCCACTTTCTATTTTGATTTAGGTACCATTACTATACTGATGTTTCTGTGATTATATTGCAGGATATGTTACCTGATTATATTCCTATGCGTCTTGGTGAATCAATTCTTTTTGCGGGGAAAGCCATAAGGGTTTTGCGAAATCCTAGTCCTGCTTTCCAGTTCCAGAAGGACAAGAGTTTTCAGCAAACAATGCGTGGCTCCCAGAGGATTCGAGGATTTATGCATAGTGATTTCCCTGAGAGGGAAACTGAGTTGGACGCAGATCTTACAGGAGAAGAGTTGCTTCCACAATCTGAGGCAGACAAGATCGAAGCTATGCTCAAAGATTTAAAGGTACTGGTGGGAAGACTGTATTATGGCACAAATGTTATTGGTAAAAAGTGTATCGATCTTGTTTGATTTCGGTTCAGTCATGGAAAACGTGATCTTTCTTTCTGTTAATGCATAGAACTAGTATTTTCCTTTCTCCTAGGATCACGTTAGGGCTCAAATTTTATGCTTAAATTTATACATCTACTTGCAGGAATCATCTGAGTTTCACAAGAGATCATTTGAGTGCACTGTTGATTCTGTTCGAGCAATAGCAGCCAGTCATCTTTGGCAGGTTCATTCACTTGACAACTTTTGATTCTTTAATCTTTTGGATAATAATTTTTTTTGTGACATTACATTCCCTTTTACAGCTTGTCGTTGTACGTGCTGATCTCAATGGTCATCTTAAAGCTCTAAAAGATTATTTTCTCTTAGAGAAAGGAGACTTCTTTCAGGTAAACAGCATAAAATATCTGTTGGCATTCTTCAATGGAAAATAAGGGTCATTTTATAGCCCTACCGTTTGTTCATGTCCTCGTTTCTTGCATTATCCTCAGCAAAATACCTGTAGACATGTGAACTCATATCTCCGAAACTTTCCGATTTCAGTGCTTTCTGGAGGAGAGTCGCCAGTTGATGCGTTTGCCGCCGCGCCAGTCAACTGGAGAAGCTGATCTTATGGTACCATTTCAGTTGGTATGTGGTTACAACATAAAAGTGTTTTCATGATAAAAAGTTCTGCTCATGTCAAGTTGTTTTTATAACGCTCTCTCTTTTGGAAACACACAGGCTGCAACAAAAACCATTGGTGAAGAAGACAAGTATTTTTCTAGGGTATCCCTACGGTCAGTAACACATCAAGCTCTTAGATTAGATGGATCCAGCCTTGAGCTAGTGTGAAAAAACGCATAAATAATTACTTCTCCCAACTGTTCCATAATTTGGCTGTTTTAACTGCTACTCTCACCAGGATGCCTTCATTTGGAGTCACAGTCAGATCTTCTCAAGCCGACCTGGCGAGATCTAAAGTATCCCTTACCGGGAAGGTGAGTCTTACATCAGAAACCTCTGTGGATGGCTGGGACGCTATTGCTCTTGAGTATTCTGTTGATTGGCCCATGCAACTGTTTTTCACTCAAGAAGTACTTTCTAAGTAAGAATCCTTGGCCATTGCTTGTATCCTTTTTTTTCTTCTAATTTTTCTCACTTCAAAGTTCTTGCATCGATTTAGTTGGCTCTTTGCTTGAACTAAAAATGCTTGATGCTTTTTCTGAGAGCTATAGACTTGTGTTTCAGGTATCTCAAGGTGTTCCAGTACTTGATAAGGCTAAAGAGAACCCAGATGGAATTGGAAAAATCATGGGCTTCTGTAATGCATCAAGATCACATGGACTTTGCTCAACATCGAAAAGATGGTACCAATGGATCAATATCTCAGCAAAGACGACAAGGAATACGACCCATGTGGCGAGTTAGAGAGCACATGGCGTTTCTGATACGGAATCTTCAGTTTTACATTCAGGTAAGGAAACTTACAATGTCTCATAAAGGTTTCAAAGTTGGTGGTCTTAAGCCAGTTTGGAAAAAAACGTCTAAGGTTTAATTCTCTATTTGTCTTAAGGTTGACGTGATAGAATCTCAATGGAAGGTGTTGCAAGCTCACATCCACGATTCTCAAGACTTCACCGAGCTCGTTGGCTTCCATCAAGAGTAAGCTATTGTTACCCTTAGGGTTTAAATAAAGTTTGGTTCGGTTTCTTTGCTAACTCTACTACTTACCTACTACACATGCAGGTATCTCTCTGCTCTTATCTCTCAATCTTTCCTGGACATTGGTGCAGTCTCGAGGATACTCGACAGCATCATGAAACTCTGTCTCCAGTTCTGCTGGAATATTGAGAATCATGAAAGCAATCCAAACACTTCGGAACTTGAAAACATCGCCGAGGTGCAGTATCTTTTCGTATTCCAATAAAACTATAACAACCAATGCTCTTTTTCAATAGTTTTTTTCTTCTAATTATTGTTTTGTTGTTGCGGTTTTTAAGGAATTCAACAAGAAGTCAAATTCCTTGTACACGATACTGAGAAGCAGCAAGCTCGCTGGGAGTCAGCGAGCTCCGTTCTTGAGACGTTTTCTTTTACGCCTAAATTTCAATTCCTTTTATGAGGTAGTGATCTAAACAGAAGATTGTTTTTTTTGAGTTTTTCTTTCTGGTTCGAAAAATTAGAGCTTCAGACTGACTTTTTTTCCCGGTAACAGGCAACTACCAGGGGCTTGTTGAATGTTGTCCGGCAACGCCCAGCTCTTCCATTGTAAATGTTCTGGTCCGAGAATCTCGTTTCGAAGCTTTTTCAGACATGGGCTTGAGGTTTTGCTGTAGCTATGACACGTGGAAAGATTGGTCTGATCTTCAAATCACGATCACATACGCCATCAAATGGAATATGTAATATAGAGATGTGATACTATGATTTGACCCCAAAAAAAGGATGTGATACTATGTAAATTACGTAGGAGACGAGGTACTTTAGGTCAAGTTTTTGTTTGATTATGTGACAATATGAGATATTTGAATATGATGCGAGTTATAAAATTTTCTTTTGTGAAAAAGTTTATTCTTTATGCAAATATTCATGAGTAACATCAAGCTATAGTGTATATACATCAAGCTATAGAATATAGATAGTCTTGGTCGATGTACTGAGTAAGCAGATGATATATGACCACTATTCAAATTTGTCTTCTTCTACACTTAGTACTATCGAATACCCTAAAAATTCGGAAAATTAGATGTTCTTATTCACTCACACGGATGTGTTATCCAACAAAAAGAAGGAAAGAAAGAAAGATAAAAGAAGGAACAGGACAGCATTTTTAACCATACTACAAACAGATACTGTAAGTTCTTCAAAATGTCTCAGAACAGAATATGAAAATATTGAAGAACAAAAACAAAGAGCAGCAGAGAACGAAGATAAAACCCAGTAAGGATAGATTGGAAAACCCCCAGGGCTTCTCCGGAAGCAGACTTAACTTCAAACTCAAAAGCATTTCCGGTGAACAATTGAAGGGCCTGACTCATCATATTCCGCCTTTGCGATCCACATCTACAAAAAGGAAAGATGGATCAATGGACTAGAACTATTCGGTTTAGGGAATGGAAATTGATTGGATTAGCTACCTGCTGGAAGGTACTGAGAGAGGCCAAGATAGATCCTCCAATCCAGACCGAGTATTTCCTCTCAGGCGGTGCAACGACTTTGATTTTCATGCTGCTCGGTGCCAAAGCAGTGATCTCTTTGCTCATTCTGTCAGCAATTCCAGGGAACATAGTTGTTCCACCACTAAGCACAATATTACCATACAAGTCCTTCCTGATGTCCACATCACATTTCATTATGGAGTTGTAGGTGGTTTCATGGATACCGGCATTCTCCATACCGATCATAGATGGCTGGTAAAGAACCTCTGGGCAACGGAACCGCTCAGATCCAATGGTGATCACTTGCCCATCGGGTAACTCATAGTTCTTTTCCACAGCAGAGCTGGTTTTAGCCGTCTCAAGCTCCTGCTCATAATCCAGAGCAATGTAGCACAGCTTCTCCTTTATGTCTCTGACAATTTCACGCTCAGCTGTTGTGGTGAAAGAGTAACCACGCTCAGTGAGTATCTTCATCAGAGCATCTGTGAGGTCACGACCTGCAAGATCGAGACGTAGGATTGCATGGGGAAGTGCATATCCCTCATAGATAGGGACCGTGTGGCTCACACCATCCCCAGAGTCCAGCACAATACCTACAACATAAATCAATCATTTTTAAGACATGGTCTTTGAATAAAAATGTATAAGCCTCTCTGCTGATTTTGGACTCACCAGTAGTACGGCCACTAGCGTAAAGTGACAGGACAGCTTGAATGGCTACATACATGGCCGGAGCATTGAAGGTTTCAAACATGATTTGAGTCATCTTCTCACGGTTAGCCTTTGGGTTGAGAGGTGCTTCAGTGAGTAGAATCGGATGCTCCTCGGGAGCAACACGGAGCTCATTGTAGAAAGTATGATGCCAGATTTTCTCCATGTCATCCCAGTTGTTGACAATACCGTGCTCAATTGGGTATTTGAGGGTTAGAATACCACGCTTGGATTGAGCTTCATCGCCAACGTACGCATCTTTCTGTCCCATTCCCACCATCACTCCGGTGTGACGAGGACGGCCAACAATACTTGGAAACACAGCCCTCGGTGCATCATCCCCAGCAAAACCAGCCTAAGTCCAACACAGAACATATAACTACCTTAGAGATGGATTAGAGCTACATTGTTCATAGGATCAAAGGATCAGCAAAACTGGAATATATATGGTTAAACGATGCTCTCATCCATCTAATGAGTATAAAAGAATCTGATTTTTTGTCTGACCCGAATTAAGGTATAGGAAACAGAGTGATCCACAAAAGATTCATTTTTTGAAATACTCGAAGTTGGAGATATATGTTGGAGAATGTAAAGCAGAAACTTAACAAGCAAAAGATTAAAGATTAAAGCAAGAAAGAAAAAGATCACAATTTGAGGATTACCTTAACCATTCCAGTTCCATTGTCGCAGACAAGGGGTTGAATGTCCTCACCATCAGCCATTTTCTACTTTCTGCAAAAGAAGGAATCATAAGACCACCAATGTGGCATAAACAAGAATAATTAAAACGGAAAGCAATCAATGTTCTCTTTCATATTTGCTAAAACCAGTAAGCAACAACATTATAATAAAGAAACAGAAGACAATTCATTTTCAACGAGTCAAGAAATATAATATCCTAGTGAGACATAATCAAATACTAAAAGGAATGTGTCAAATATTCCAGATCCAGAATCACGTTATCAATTCGATTTTATAATATTATAAACAACACCAACCCGAGAACCACAGTGGAAAACAAAAAATTACACTTAGGCTAGCAAAATTGCTTGCATTTAAGAAAATACCGATCTTTAAAAAACCAATCGAGATTGATTATCAAGAAAATGGGATATTTAGATTCAGCCGATAAAGCCACAAACATACTGACGAAACCCCAGATCGAGAAAACAAATTCAAAAGGAGAGAAAATCAAATGACAATTGACAATCAAAACGAGGCAGAGATATACCGAAATCCGGATCTATTAAACAACAATTACGTTCTAAAATTTTACCGGAAACGGGAGAAAAAGTAGATGAAAGCCTTTCACGAGGCAGGAGGAATCTCGGAGAAACGGAGAAACACAATCGATCAGGAAAGGTGAAATGAGAGAACACAAAAAAAAAAAAAAAAAACGAATGGCAAAGTAAAATATAAAAACGGGTCAAACTTCGAATTCGGCTCACCTCACTTTCCGGTTCAATTCCTATTTGAAAAGACGTCTTTGCCCTCTGTTTTTTATTTTTCTCCCTCGGTCAATTCTAAGCTTTGGTTAAATAAAAATAATCTCTTAGCAAAGCTTAAGACCCAACAGGGGCCCAAATCGTTTGCGGGTTTAGGGTTTCTTTTTTAAGTCTCTGTATATATACATCGCTGTTTTCATTCACCGTCTTTCTTTCGTCTGAACCCCGGAGGAGCTCGATCTGAAGACGAGGTATTACTTGTGATTCAATTCTCTTTACCTCCTGATTTCTATTTATCCCGAAATCTTGTGATGGTTGCGGAAATGGGTTTTCCTTCATTGATTTTGTAATTAACACAAATCTCTGTTTATTTGTCTGTTGTTGATTTGCAGAAGATGACAACTCCGCAAGTTAAGACCGGTTTGTTCGTTGGGTTGAACAAGGGTCATGTTGTCACCAGACGCGAATTGGCTCCTCGTCCTCGTTCTCGCAAAGGAGTATGTTTCTCTTTTGCCTTGTTGTTTATTGAGCTTATATTGTTTTGATTAGTTTTAGTAGTAGTTGCTAGATTGTGATTGTTTTGTTCAGATTGTGCCTGGAACCTAGTTTCTGATTCTGAACCTGGTTTCATGATCTGAAGGGCTCATAAAGTATGGAGATTTGATGTTGTAGACCTGAATTATGTTGCGTTGTCGTGATCGTTATCTTGTGAATGTCCTAAGCTCACTAGACTGTCTTTAAATGTCGAGCTTGCTTCTGCAAAAACCATTTGATCTAGCAATGTCGATGCAAGTATTGTCCTTGTGATTAGAGCTTATTTAACTGATTTTTTGGTATTCCTCTTGCTTTATTTGATGTGGATCTGATTGTGGTAATCTTTGTGATATATGTGGTCAGAAAACGAGTAAGAGGACATTGTTCATTAGAACATTGATAAGGGAGGTTTCTGGGTTTGCTCCTTATGAGAAGAGAATCCAGGAGCTTCTCAAGGTTGGCAAAGACAAGCGTGCTCTAAAGGTAGCTAAGCGAAAGTTGGGTACCCACAAGAGAGCCAAGAGGAAGAGAGAGGAGATGTCTAGTGTTCTCCGCAAGATCAGGTTAATCCCTAAATCCCATTCATTTCTTTTGTTGCTCTCATTTTCAGATTTTCTTTATATACAACCCCTCAAGTTCTTGACTACCTAAGCTTTATATCTACCGAAATGTCATTATTGTGCTTTTGCTCTTTCTTCTTGATGTCTCTTGCTGAAGAATTAGAGCCTAATCTATTGTATAGCCTAGATTCTTATTAGATAGAGTCTAATTGAAAATTTTCATTCCCAACACTCATCCCAGCTAAGCATTTTAAAAAAATAAGCTTATTGTTGGCCTTGTACTTCTTGATTCAAAAACAATGATTTCGTTGTAAAATACTGATTTTGTGATTTTGCTTGTGTACACGTAGGTCTGGTGGTGGTGGTGTAACTGAGAAGAAGAAGTGAGCATCATCTTTAAGTTTGGGATCTCAGATAGAGAAGCTACTCTTATTATGTTTTCATTGTCTGTGATTTAAAGAGTGCTTTATCCATGACCATGATATTATTATGCATTCAACCTAATATCCGCATTTTATCATTTATTTTCAATTACCTCTTGAGTTTATTGAAATTCTGAAAATCAGTATCTGTTATCAAATTGACCAAACTATTTTAGCTATGATCAAATTATAATGTTCAAGAAAACACCAATTTCCGTCAAGATGCGAGCTTAGCAGAGAATCAATCAATTAATTACCACCTTCTAAAAGGCCTTAAACAACTCTATGTTAAGAATTCATTCTTCTCTTTCGTAAACACTTAAACTGTGATTTCCCTTAACCCCTTAATCCTATCACAAGATCTACGGCTCAGAATCGCACTAGGCATACGACACGGATATCAACAGATCCAACGGTACACAAACTCCACTCATGAGTCAACAGATATTAGATGATGATCACGCGGATCGATAATAACAGACGTCGATTGTGAACGATCCGACGACTCAAAATCTCCCAATATTGTTTTACGAAAAAAACATTGCGTTGCAGAAAAAGCATACAAATGCATTCTCGTCTCGTCTCGTTATATATGTAAACCTCATTTCCTCTCAACCAATCATCACACCATCCTAGTTTCTAATCAACAGCAATCGCAAATCAAATAATCATTTCTCTAATCGAAGTTTAGAAACAAAATTAATTGCCCGAGAAAAATGTCAGGCAGAGGAAAGGGAGGAAAAGGATTGGGAAAGGGAGGAGCCAAGAGGCATCGGAAAGTTCTAAGAGACAACATCCAAGGGATTACGAAACCAGCGATTCGCCGACTTGCGAGAAGAGGAGGAGTGAAGCGTATCAGTGGTTTGATCTACGAGGAGACTCGCGGCGTTCTCAAGATCTTCCTCGAGAACGTCATCCGCGACGCCGTTACTTACACGGAGCACGCTCGCCGGAAAACTGTGACGGCCATGGACGTCGTTTACGCTCTCAAGAGACAGGGCCGGACTCTTTACGGATTCGGTGGCTAATTCCGATTGCTTTCAGTTTCTGATTTTGTAAAATCTTTCGATTTCTAGGATTTGCGATCATCGCTGTTTAAAGATGAATGAATTGAAAAGAAAAAAATTATGCATATTTTTTCCAGATGTATCTTGTTTTTTGGTTCCACATTTGATTATCATGAATTTTTTATCACATCAAATTTAATCATAGTGGTAAGGATATTAATTAAATCCAGTAATTAGACTGAAAGACTATGGTTCGAATCCAGCCTTTTGGGCTTTTGTAGCCCAACAGAACAAATGATTAGAGACTCAAAATTTAAATGTTACGATAAGCCTTTAGGGACGAGAAGATATTATAACTCTGTTAGGCTAAAAATTGTGGCCCAACCAAAATAAATTATTAAATTAAAGATTAGAAATGAAATTTTTTATTATGGCAATACATGATGATGGTTATGCAAACTGTGGCTAAATCAATGAAACTTTTAATTGATACTCTTATCAGTTTATCTGGTTGAGAAAGCAACTGGAGAACTACATACTTTGACTACTTTCACCGGTTTATGTTTTTTTTTCCAGCATTTCACCTTCTTTATGCTAACAGCACTTAGTATAATTAATCATCAATGCCACTATTGAGTGTTACTCTCAATTATTTGTTTCTTAAGTCAAATTTTCTAATGAGTTATGGACCCTCTACCTACGACTGTTCCCTGTACTTATACTGTAGCCACCAAAATCTACTTTTTTTCGTTAATCGACATTTCTGATTTTCTCGTTGAAGAGAATAAAGAAAACCAAAAGCAGTGGAGCAAAATGTTTTTGTTTCAGACATTATTGTAGCTGGAATCTTTATTCCAATTTCAATTATATAAGAAAAAGGATGATTCACAGACAATTTCATTCTTCCAATACAGTGTTTGGACGTGTCACTCGTTGATGTCAAAGTCAGTGTGTCTTTCTAAAATAAGAAGGGGGATTTAATTCTCATTTAAGAAATTGTTTAAAATAAGAAGGGGACACCAACAACAGTAAACCCCTACAGAAAATATAATCATTGATTCCATATTTCCATGTGAGGAGTGTTGAGTCATGATCGATTCGTACTATCTAATTCAACTAAATCAAAAAGTCGATATGACTTGCAGGCTTGCAGCATTGAGTTAAAATGCAAATGCCTTACAAAGAAAAAGAAAACTGGACTCAGAAAAAGTTTACGGTATTAAGGGTTTTGATACAATAATCGTATCCAAAAATTGTATATATTTGGTAAAGAAATCTAATATGCATGTTTTGCGAATGCACATACTAATGCCAACTCAAAATTTAGATGTAAAACGTAAATTAACACGAATGCTATACGTAAAGATAAATTTAAACGCTAAATGCATGTGGAGGTTTACAAATCCTATAAATACAGATATAAACATAAAAGCAAACACACAGACAGAACAAAACACGAACGCGAAAAAAAGCAATAGATGCAAATATAGTTAAATGCAAATATGAACGTGATCACAAGAGCTATATGCAAACACAAACGTGAATATTCTATAAAACGTAATGCGAGTGCATGCCAACCAATAAAGAAAATGCAAACACAAATACTTAATGCAAACCCAATTTTATTATTTATTCAAATAAAACCACAAACACAAAGTTTACTCAAACGCGAGTACCAAATAATATTTTTGTAAATATCGTTTGTTCTCTTCTCATATATGTTGTACAAAGAAATTGTCTACCAATAGTTAAGTTAAATTTTATGCGAACGAATTTTTAGATAAAATTATATATAAAGGTTTCCCACTTTTTCTTTTATAATATAAGTCCAAACTTTGAATCTTTTTATACGTTTGGGAAAAAAAATCGTTCGAAATCTGACCCTGGGCTTATAATCAATCAGCGTAAAAATCTGACTTTGAGACATGAATTTATAAATTTAAGACAAAACATCTAAAGAGCCAAAGGTATAGCTGGTTCATGAATCTTCGCTATAGCTAGTTCTCTGAGCTGTGACGTAGAAAGATGATGAGACGACCAAACTTGTTATGTTTTGATCTAACTATTCCTCAAAATTTGGAGGACCACTTGTTTGGCACTTTTGGCTTGCCTTCATGAGAAGTCCAAATCTATTTCATAGAAAAAGAAATGGTAAAACGATCGCCTCGTGAATTTCAATTTTATTTTTATTTTATTGTTTATTTATTTGGCAATCACCAATCAGTATTCTCGTGAATTCTCCCACTATTTTGTGATTATTGGGACTTTTTAAAAGTAATATGTTTGAACTTTCTCTTAAAAAAATTAATTTTAGAGTGTTTGCTTTCCATTCTAAAAGACATGGCCACTACGGCAGATAACAAGTCATATTATATTGATAGTCTTTCCACGTATAGTTTTTCTAGTTTGTGCTATAATTTGGAGAGAAAAAAAAAATAGTTTATGCTTTTTCTTTTCTTTTCTTTTATATAAGAAAACCCTTTTGCAAAAAAAAAATAAAAATAGTTTAGAGTTTTGAGTCACAAAAGAAAATCTATATATATATGTATATATATATATATTGAAATAATAAAGTTAACATAAAAAGATGTTTTCTTTTATATGAGCACTAGAAAACTGATATTTATAAAGATAGTTGAAAGGATGAAAACCAAAAGTTTGGATTCGTTCATCTTCCCGTAATGGCAAGCTAAAGTCATTGTCTATTTTTTGTGGAAAGAAAAACGCGAGATTTTATACGTCTGTGTCGAAGTCTGTCCATGTAATATATTCAAGGTCCAAGGTTAATCAGCTTCTCCTCAAAGCCAAGTTCTCGGGTCTTGCTCGTTGTGAGAGCTACAACTTAATTAAAGTGTTCTTCCTCTTCTCTAATAACCCTTAAGAAACTTATATCTCCAGTTAGTTTTGGTATATCCAACTTTAATCTTTTTAGTAAATGTAGTCCTTCCCCTGTTCTCTTATATTACTCCTTCACTTGACTTTTGTAATCTTTTGTATTAGTTCTTGATCTTTTTCATTTTTGGGCTCAATAACTCCAAAAACAATGTCTATTTATTGAAGCAAAAATTTATAATATAAGTTTATATTATATATATATCAGTGGCGGAGCTAGAACTTTTATTTACCGGAGTCAATTTTTTTTTTTTAAAAAAAAATTTAAGACACTAAAATTTTAAGATATATCACTTGTGTGTTTCATAAAAACATAACTAATATTAGATAACTATTTTTTTTACTTTATTTTAGCCAAATGGATAAAATTGTAGCTGAATTCAAAATTTCTAATATTTAGGCTATTTCATTTTATGTATTTGTTTTTTTGGTCTTATGTATCGAAATTAGTTTTGTATAGGGGTCAAAAATTATTCCAAATTGGGGTAATATAATTTTTTTTTAAAAAATATAACAGAATTTTATAAAATGATTGGGGTCTGTTGACCCCCTTCTCACCTTACTGCCTCCGCCCCTGTATATATATACTATCAAAAACCAAAGCTTCATTCAAGAGTTTAGTTATTTTTTTAGTATTAAATTGTAACATCAATTAACTTGTATGAATAGAACTAATTGAGCGGGGTTAATTACCTAATAAGTTTGACTAATATCATTACCGTATTATTATCAAAAATTGTGTGTGATGTACTGTATGTGGGAAATGCCGTCAAAAAAAAAAAAAACAAACAAAATGGGAAGAAAAAAACGGTCTACTTCACGACAAACGTAAATAAGTTAGATGATGGTTGAGATAAGTGTGATTAATCAAGTTTTAGCATCTTTCAGGCAGTCCACTACTTTTAACTCATTCTTTTCCTTTCTACAAGTTCAAATCTGGTTTTGCCACAATTTCAGACTACTAGTTTTCACTCGTGAAACGCTACATTTGACTTGTAAAGTCTGCCACAAATATGCTTATTTCAACCTTGATATTCATTTGAAAACCATAACTTTTTAATTATATGTATTAATGAAAAATCAACAGCTTTATCGTCTAATGATAATAATGCCAAACTATTTTTTTTTTTTTAAAACATGGAATATATGAGAAGTCATAAACGATACGTGCCACCTGCTTGCACTTGCGAAATCCCATCTACGCCGACGTAGCATATGTCAACGCCGATGTCTCGCGTCCCACGTGCGACTCACATGATTCCTACTTCGCTGATAAGTCAGTCTCTTAGTTTGCAATTTCCCCGTTGTGATTTGTGAGATGAGTTTTTGTTTTTGTTTCCGTTGGTATCATGAAGGGTTTAATTAGATAAATAGATTTTTTTTTTTTATGACAACACAGATAACTCAAATGTTCAATTGCGCATTTTTAATCAAATAGCATGTTGTCAAATAAAATAATAGTATGTTTTTACTATCATATTTTTGTGTGTAAATAAATTCTAAAATTAGGCTATTAGTGTTTACATAGTTCATTTAGTCTCAGTCCTTACCATTTATTTTTACTTGCCGACTAGAAAATGACAAAAAAAAATGAGAAGAAGTTGAATTATATATTCAAAACCGAATAAAGAAGTTGAATTATATCAGCCACAATATGTTGTGAGAGTAAATATATACTGTTTAATTATAACATTACAGTAAACCTGAATAATTCAAGGTCACACGTGAGATGCAGATAGACGCACCCAACTTATACAAGCAACAACATCATTACTTTTTTGAATCTTCAAATATCAATTTTTGCCTATAAATTTCGTCACAAGACTTCTTCTTCCTTGAACTAAAAATCACATGTTCCAAATATATCCTTTCGAGAGAGTGAGATAAAAAAAAAAAAAAACCAATAAAACAACAAAACAAAAACAAAAACGAAAATCTTCAAAATCCCAAAAATGCCCTTTAACATAACAGCCGTGAAAACTTCTTCCAACGGAGTATGGCAAGGCGACAATCCCTTGAACTTCGCCTTTCCGTTACTTATCGTCCAAACGGCGTTAATCATCGCCGTCAGTCGCTCCCTCGCCGTCTTTTTCAAACCCCTCCGTCAACCCAAAGTCATCGCCGAGATCGTCGTACGTAATTACACTCCCACACTATTTACATATATTCCATAATCATTTCATTTCTTTATTTACAACTTTGCCATTCGTCTTCTTAATTTTTTTTTATATATTTTTT